ACTAATAGAAGTACAAAAGAGTTTGGTAAAACACATCTCAGCCATTTTTCAGTGTGTAGCTCAGTAGGTTAAATATGATCACACGGTTGTGTGACCGATCTCCAGATGTCATTTTGTGAACCAGAAACTCTACCCTCATTAATCAGGAGTCCCCTACTCTTTCTCCCCTGAACCCCCAGAGACTGCCATTCTACCTTCTCTCTGGGACTTTGACCACTCAGTGTTCCACATGAGTGAGTCAGGTAGTCTTTGTCCTTCTGTCACTAGATGTCTTACTCAGCATAATGTTTTAAGGTTTATTCATGTTGTAGGATACACATATGCACATGAATATATATGTATGTATATTCCCCTTTTAAGGTTATATGATATTTTGTTGCATATACACCACATTTTGTTAATGGAATCATCCATCAGCCCACACCTGGGCTGCCTCCACCTTTGGCAGTTGTGAATAACGCTGCTAGGTACATGGATGTACGAATACGTCTTCAAACTCTGCTTTCAATTCTTGTGTACTGAGATTCACTCAGAAGTGAAATCACTGGATCAGATGTTAATCCTGTTAAATTCTCAAGGATCCACCACAGTGATTTTCACAGTTCATGTCACTTTGCCTTCCCACCAACAGTGCACAAAGATCCCAAATCTTCTATGTCCTCATCAACAATATCATTTTCTTCTTTTGTTTTGTTTTGGTCTTGAAGTGATACCTCACTGTGGTCTTTTTGCATTTTCCTAATTATTAGTGACACTGAACTTCTTTCCATGAGCTTGACATCATAATTTTTTTTTTGAGAAATGTCTGTTCAAGTCCTTTTTCCATTTTTATCAGATTGTTCATTCATTTGTGGTTGAGTTATAGGAGCTTGCTCCATATTCTGGATATTAATCTATTATCAGATACAAAATTTTCAAGTATTTCGCCCATACTAAAGGTTGTTCTTTCTTTGTTGATTGTGTTCATTGGTTCACAGAAGGTTTTTCATGTTGGCATAGTCGAATTTGTCTGTTTTTACTCTCATTTCCTGCACTTTTGGTTTGTGTCAAAAAATTCACGGTCAAATCCAACATTATGAAGCTTTTCCCTCATGTTTTCTTCTAGGAGTTTGAAGTTTTCATTATGTTTTAAGGTCCTTGATCCTATTTGAGTTATCATTTGTGCATAATATAAACTAATGATTCAGTTCCCCTCTTTTGCATGTAGCTGTCTAGTTTTCCCAACCACCTGTTCAAAAGACTGTTCTCTACTGATGGCCTTGTTGTTGAGAATCATTTGCCCTCACATGTGAGGTTCACTTCCGGGCTTTCTTCCATTCTTAACTCTATTCCATTCGTCTGTGTGTCCATCTTGTGACAGAACCACACTGATGTTGTAGATGTGTAATAAATTTTAGAAAATCAGAAAGTGTAAGATCTCCAACTTCCTTCTTCCAAGAAGAAGCAGCTGTTCAGGAAATAATTTGAAATTGGTCTTGGTGTACATACTTTTAATGTGTTCTTGAATACCGCTTGTTAATATTCCGTTTAGGATTTTTGTCAGCCCTTAACATCACTGTGGATATTGATCTGTAGCTTCCTTTCTTATATATTCATCTGGCTTTGGTGTGAGTATAATGCTAGCAATATCGAATGAGGTTAACGTGTTTCATTCTCTTCAGCTTTGGGGAAGAATTGGAAGAAAATTGGCGTTAATTTTTCTTAACATGTTTGATAGAATTCATAAATGAAGCTTTCTAGTCCTGCACTTTACTTTGTAGGAAGTTAATTGATAGTGATTTAATCTTCTTGGTAACTTTCATTTTTTCATAAATCCATCTTGGTATGTTATGTTTCTAGGAATATCCAATTTGTTGCCAAATAGTTGTTCACACTATTCTCTTAGAATAATCTTTTTATTTCTCTAAATCAATTGCAATGTTCTCCTCTCATTTCTGCTTTTATTTTCCAATTTGACTCTTTCTTTTTTTGTATCAGTCTAGCTGTTCTGCATAGTTAATGTTCTTCTCAG